CAGACTCCTAAAAACAGACCTCTACCTGTTCTGCTAACAGGTTCTCCAGATAACGTTAGAAAAACCAGCATCTGTCCAATGGGCTGACAGACTGTTTCTGTTTGCAAAGTGAATTACATGGACTCACTTTGTGGTGAACAGAAGAATTAGCCTGAACCTGCTGCATCCGTATTTCTTATCTGCCAGCATACAATATGCACCATTAGCAGGTAGAGACTGCTAACACATTCCTAAGAATGATACAGGTTGTTGCATTACATGGTTGTGCAGCTTTATAATTGCTCCTGAGCTAGTGTAAACGGGCTGCTAGGCAGACCTTCAGACAATGTGCACATTGTTAAAAGCAGGTGAATCACTGTGCACTATGGATTCAAACTGTTGGTTGAAACTGCAAGTGGATATTTCACACAGCAAACACAGTCTTAATGTGGTGGTGATTTGGTATCGCACAGTTACATTTAGAACCTTTCCTCATTCATTTTGCTTCGATCTTTAGTTGCAGGCAGAGCCTTTTGTCATTGGCTACTGAGGTCAGAGCAGCTCAGTTGAACTAATCTGTACTTTTGTCACCAACATCAGTGCAGGACTTTAACAGCACCCCGCATACACAGTAATGGTGGAGACATACTTTTCTGCAATAATGAGAAGCTCTAATAGAAGACAAGCTAACAACAAACTGGCGTCCACAATACAGAGTACTCAGTGGGAAACCATAGACTGTATATAAAGATGGGCGATGCATCGCTACTTCCTGCTATAATGCAAAATGAATGTTGTGTAAGAACACACTGTGATGGAAGAGCGACATTTTAAATGCTTATTTCATTCATATTTGAGTTCAAACCTGTTTTTATTAAGGGAAATCATGACCTTTCAGTCAACTTTAATTCTAACTTTCTGATAAAAAAGATGTACTGTATAAGGAGTGTGAGTGTGTGTGAGAGTGAGGGAGAAGGAGAAGGAAAAGGTGTGAATGAAAGGGGGCTTGGATGGATAGTAATCAGATTTCATCAGAGATACTATCCATGAAAAACAGGACGCAGGCTGACTGTAAAAAGGCTGAGTAGGACACAGAGGGATATCAGATTACAGCTTCCTCTCTGCTGCTTCCTCCATTAACGAATGCATAGCCACGTCTCACTCTGGTGGATGGACAGTCCTGAGGTCACAGCAGCCATTAGGCAGACACAAAAGATGCTATTCTCGGTACTGGACATGTTCAGAATGAATCCTGGTGTGGCCACACTCACGTGAGATAAGCTTGTTAATGTGGAATAGTCCTTTCAGTACACATCACCAGGATTAATGGCCATCAGTCATTAAAAGTGCCATGGTGACGGAAAAGGCAGCAGAAGAAGAAAAAGGTGCTTCTCATCACCTAATGTCAAATTTCAGTCACTGTTGATGTAGCTTTCCCCATTTTAAGCTGCATCATGAATTTTCTTATTTATTTCAAGTTGTTTTTATTGTATTTTCAGTTGAAGAAAGAAATGAGAACAAAACAACGAGAGCAAAAGACAAAAGACCAGGTGTGGGGGGGTTTCTAGTTACAGAGAATAAGTCGGCAGACTACAGTAGTGATGCTGAGAATGCCAGTAAATGTGATTGATGTCTGGATAACCCGCTGTTGCTAGGGGCAACCCCAGATGTTGCAACGATAGGATCTGGGTCAGCCCGTTTTTACCGACATAAGAGAATGTGTTGAACATCTTCGACCACAGTGTGTAGAGTTTTGGGCACGTCCAAAACACATGACCCAAAGTGACGGTTTGCTTCCTGTTCTCCTCACGCCACATGAACCAAGATGCGGAACCGCAACTCGCCCCTGGTGGCCAGGCAGCAACTCGGACAGCGTCGCCATCAATGACAACATTTCCCCATGCGGGACTAATAAAGGAATGATTATACTTACTTAGCATCGCCACATTAGCATTACCATTGTGAGCAGTTAGCATGCTGTGCCTCAGCACAGCCTCACAGAACTCCTGCCATGGTTGTGGACTCTCAGGGCTAGAGGGAAGAGTTTTGCAGCTGTATGTGTCTCACTCATCACTGCATGGAAGTGAGGACTGAGTAAATAATATGAAGGACCTGGTCACACAGTATGATTATGCCTTCTGCTGGATTCACTGACATCATGCTGTTTACAATTTACGGTTTTGTGGGGAAACCTCTGTCTCTGAAAAGGCAGAGGTGGGATTTACAAGAGCCACATGTGGGTTGTAGTGGTGGGAATCAAGTTCATTTTTATTTATAAGGGCTTTACAAACTGTAAAGCAGACAACTCTGTCCCTAGACCTTGGAAGTGAATCAGGAAAAACTCCCTCAACAACCTTTCAACTTAAAAAAACTCTTGAACAGGAAAAAGAGGAAGAAACAAGGATAAGCAACAGATGAGTCATCCTCTTCCAGGACTGATAGACAGGAAGTGGTTGCCCATACCTCACCCATGGTGTTGACACACCATATTACATGGGCAGCCTGTTGACTCAGTGTGTTTGAATTCATTCCAACATGAAGAGACTACCCTCTGAATGAGAACTGACTGTTGCCTGTTATTTATGTGCAGTTCTCTCCTGCACAAAGTTTTCTTCTTTATACACCTTTTCAGCATTCAGACTGTCCTATACAACACCACCACTCCACCAGCAGTTTCTAATTATTGCTATTCTGGTCCTGATGAAGTGCAGCTAAAGCTCATTATCATGCCTCTGTGTTTTGTTCCTTCATCTCAGCCTGATACCAATTTTCATTACGACTTCTTAAATCATGTGGCTCCTGCAGTTGTTTCCCTAGCTGAGCTCCATGTGTGTGAAGGGGCCCTACTTTACTTCAGAGGAAGTACAGCTCCCATTCACTGCAGGTTGCTCCTGACAGGAGGCTCGGCTCTGTTCATTTATCTGAGGAAGTCCGGGAGCACATGTCTGAGAGGTGATCATCTGTAGACAATGGGGAGTGTTGATGAGTATCTGCTGCTTGTTCTCAGTGTTGGCAGCTTGTAGCTGTCAAGTGCAAACTGCAGCTTCGAGGTGAAGCTTTTGGGTTTGAGCACATGAAGCTTCCTACCTGTGATCTCAGGCCACTCCTCACTATGATCTGTCAGCGTCCTCTTCAGTATAAAAACATTCAAGCCTGCGGACAGACCACAAAGTGGCTCTTAGAAGACGGCATGACTACACATACAGCTGACACAAAGGCATAATTACTGTAGATGTTCTGGTTTGAAAACGTTACAGCCAGAGCGATACATTAGGATAAGCTTAAAACTTCAGTGGTAACCAGTCTCTTACAAATCATTTAGGGAGCTTCTAAGGATTTTATCAGTCAACTCTTCAGTGCAACTATTCATTTCTTTATTTTTTTTAATATAGGTGTAGCCTAGACTGTCAGAAAATGAATGGGCATGAATGTCAGTGATGGTTTCAACCACATTAACATCAGTATTTAAAAGCAAAAGAGTGACAGGAACATATTTCTGAGAATTTAAAAATCAATAAAAGACAGTTGCATATGATGCAGTATTTAAATTAAACCTATTTAAACTGATGATATCTAATCTCCGGCTGCCACATAGATTTGTAGGAATAACGAGACAGGTAGCTTCCTCTTATTTATAATTCCTCATGTTTTCCCTCCACATTTTGTTAGCTTACTAGTCCCGTTCAGATGAAAGCATGTCGCAGAAATAGTTGGCAAATGGCTGTGCACTGCACTGTAACAGAGATGGGTAAACAAACCGGACTCTCATAGGATCAGGCAAAACCAGCCACGTTGTGGCGACAGTTTCTTCTCTTGTAAAAGTAGATCACAATGTTTGAAAACACTTCTAATAGTACAAACCTCACCTTTATGTGGCTTGTCCTAGTGGGTTTTGTTGTTCTTTTCTCCTTGTTCCGCAACTTGCTAAATAGATCCAACATCAATGTACATCCATGTATCAGCGTCACAGTTGAAGTGGGCATTCCACCCCCGACCACAGGGGGAAGTGTTGAGCAAATCGCTGTTTGGCACACCAAGATAAGGAGAAGAGAACTACTGGCTGGGGCTGCCTTTTATTGTCAAGCACAAAAAATATAATAAAATAAAAACAAAGGCTCAACTAGAAGATTCTCAGTTGAGTCACAGGTCGATTGGTGGTAGCCCTGCCTTAAACCAAGTCATGACTCTAAATATAATGATTTACATTTTGGGGACTTGGTTTTTGTCCCCATAAGGACATAGAGTCCCCACAGTGTGACTGTGTAAACAGATTTACATCCCCACATCATGAGTAATACCAGGCCGCACACACACACATGCACAAAGCATGCACCCGTTACCAGGATCACAACAAACTCTCACATTAGTGGTAACAGCATCACCTGGTTCGTGTGTGGTTGCCATGGGGATGACGTGCCTGGATCTTAATAACCGCTTAGCCCTGCTAATTGACTGTAATTAACCTCTGGTGGCTGTTTCCAGTGCTGCCGCCCACAGAGTAAAGAGATGCTGTCCCCCCTGTCAACACCTCCGTCCGTCCTCTCTCTCCTCTGTCTGTAGGAGCTGCATACGACTGCGCTGGGAGACACCGAACTTAATTAGATTTAGTCTTAATCTTTGCTAGACCCGCTCTGCCCGGAGGACACTGTTGTGATGGACAGTAACTGAGTACATTTGCGTAAATACTGTCCTGTTTGAAATTCTTGTACTTCGCTTTACTGTACTTCACTGTGTTACTTCATGCCTTCTCGCCTCTGTTTCTGAGGTGAACATTTCACTTTTTACTTTATCTTGCAGCTGCACTTTGAAATTTAAAGTGTCATAATTTATATAACACAGATATTGACCTTGTAAAAAAGCAGTGCATTGTTATGCAAATAATGTAAAAGTAGTCAAATTAGTTGTGTATGTGTGTTAATGAATCTGTCATAATTCTCCAGTAATATAACCCTGACAAGTCTGTTATAATTCACCTGAATAAGCAAACTGTCAGTGACTTTTGCTTCATCTGTGTTCCTCAGGTGTAACGGGACTGGTCCACCTGGACGAGAATGGAGACAGAGAGACGAACTTCGCTCTGTGGGACATGATCGACACCAACATCAGCGCCTTCCAGGTCAACACACACACACACACACACAACATGGTAGCACCGGTGACTTCAGGGTTAAAGAAGCAGACTTGAGGCTGGTTTTAGTCCGTAAACAGGCAGGAGGAGAGTGGAGCAGATCTGTAGCAGCAAACACTCAGGACTAATGAAATCAATCTGAGGATGTGGCTCCTACACTTAAACACCATTCAGACCAGAATGATTTCTATATTTGATATTACATGCGCACCTGCTGTTTATCGGTGCACACACAGATCCCTGCACAATGGTTGTTGCTCCCAGCTAATTCTTTTTCACAGACCTTTGTCACAGCAGATATTTTGACCTGACACAGCAGGAAAAGCACACGTGGTCCTAATCATCCTACAATCAAGGGCATAATTTCCACTGGCCACCTCTCAGCTCATTTTACAAAATAAGGTCTAGACCTTACTATTATTATGATTATTATTATTATATTGAAAAAACCCACGAACTTGCCCTGAGCAGCACTTGGTGACAGTGGGGAGGAAAAACTCCCTTTAACTGAAGAAACTTGACACAGACTCCATCTCTTGGTGGGCAGCCTTCTGCCTCGACCGGTTGGAGAGAGAGAGAAAAGAAAAGCAACAAGGCACAGTAAACACAACAACAAACAATCAAACACTGGGCAGGTTGATGTAGCCAGTGACTGCTCATCAGAACATTGAGCTCCTGAACCAAGGCTACCATCAGAAAGGTACAGGGAGCGAGACAAGACACGCTACAGGCGAGAGGAGACATGCAGTTAGTGACGTGTAGTATATATAGTTTGATAGATTGAGAGGAGAGGGGAGGGGAGGGGTCGGGAGTGGTGAGGAGAGGAGCTCAGAGCATCATGGGGCCCCCTAGTAATCTCAGCTGGTGTTGCTATTAAAACTATAACAAGGAAAAAACTGACTCAACATGTTAATCTAGTGACACCTCTGAAAACATCAGGTAACAACTGAGGAGTAAAAAGGCGTGACAGAGGTGAGATGTACTTCAGCCTTCATAGTTTTGAGGTAATCTTCTACTTTTTCCACCCTCACACATCTCCTGCTTTTCATCACTTTCCACACACCATCTAATAGTTTCTGCCATCCTGTGTGTCAGGGCGGAGGGTGGACCTGCAGTCCTTGAAGTGATTAAAAACACCACCCACCTGATGTGGTGCAGGTGACAGCTGACGATATCATGGTGCTGCTGATGTAGTTCCATGTCTGCCAGTTTCTGATAGCTTCATCCCACATCTTAAACAGGGTTTATCAGCTTGTTCTGGCCTGTGACACCAATTTTATTACAATGCTTGTGTAAAATGGTATTAATTATTGTTTGTATAATGCTGGTTCGTTATACTCTGTGTCGTGTCCTACTTTTTTAAAACTGCTTTGAGTCAGCCAGCCAGCTTTACTGTCCCCAAAAGACAGCAGTAGAGCAACATCAGAGACGGCAACAACACACAACACCTGACAAAGGATTAAAAATAGACTTAAGTGGCTCAGCTTTTCCTCTTTGACTTTACCCAGTAACAACAGAGTGTTTAGAGCTGTCTGACAGGATGCGCTGTGCTTATTTTACTAGCTGCTAGTATAAATGTCAGACAGGCTGCTTAACTGAGACCTAGTGATTTTTACTACAAACTCTGAAAACCCCGCCTAATGAACTTTTTAGTTTAACATTACGAGAGCTGAACCAGCAGATGAATGAAAGCATCAGGACACGTTCAGTAAAAGATCCATGAAACAGTGTCGTCAAAGCTCTGTCGACCTGAAACTTGTCCCACGTCTCAGGTTTGTGTCGATTATGGTGCCTACATATTTAAAAGACTCGACCATTTCGACACTGTTCTGTTGCTGGCAGGGCCACATCTGAGACGAGTCATCACACAGATCATTGGTTTTAGTTACATTCAACTCTAAAACAGATTTGCACCAGGTTAAAAGCTTCTCCGCCACCAGACCATTAGGCCTCTTCTCGCTGTCCTTCAAGCTAACGATAACTGTGTCGTCTGTAAATTCCAAAATATGATGATTCTCAAACTTGCTGATGAGTTTGTTTGTATTCGTGTCATTTTCAGAATAAAACTGACATTTTCTTCAGAATTTCATGAATTTGCCATTTTCCTCGTCTTATTCTGTAGGAAACAGGGCACATTTAGTCTTTGAAGTGTTGTTGAAGGAAAACAGGCAACATGAAGACGTCACCTCCAGCATTAGGGAATTTTCAGCATCGGCATTTTCATTGACTTCTGACATTCTGACATGGATTTAAAAAATACAGCGTGGTTACAGAGAGCGATTTTAATAATTGGCCCATAGTTTAGAATTGTAAATGGCAGCAGCAAACAAACAGGAGTGAGTTGGAGTAAACCTCAAGTTTCCAGCTGTGTGAAGCAGAAAGTCATGTTTAGTTTGGGCCCTGGGGCAAGTAAGCAGAGCTGAAAGGTCTGGGTGGTTCCCAGCAGAACCAGCAGCAGCTCAGAAATGTACAGTATTTAGGCCCCAAACCAATCGGGGCTGAGTCTTTGTTTTGTCATTACAGATAGTTCTGGTTTACAACAGCTCAGAGGAGCAGCTGACGGCTGTATCGGGAACAACCCTGCACTGGCTGGGTGGAGTTTCTCCCCCTGATGTTCCTGTCTGTGGCTTCAAGAACGACAACCCCATCTGCCTGGCAAGTCAGTGGCCTAAACACTGTGTGCATTGGGCCTTGTGCAAGAAGCAGTTGCACAGGCAAATTCACTCCTCAGTGGCACAAATGAGAGATTTAGGAGAACTGGTGGCATTTGCTCATTATCTCATACATAGAATTTTCTCTAATGTACTGTAGGATTGAAAGTTCAGGAGTGGCTCTGACCTGTGGTCGAGTCCTGAGCAGACAGACGGGGAAAAACACTGGTTTGACTGAAGAATTATACTGGTTTCATCTGAAGAGTTTAAATATGATACTGACATTGATTTGATACAAAATATAAAGTATACTGTATATGAAACATCATGCTGAAATGCTGTTCTGAGGAGCATCTCATCACCATCGTGCCGCCAGTTCACCGAGAGCTGCTTTACATTTCAGTGTTTCCTTGGTCCCAGCAGCATCTACATGTCAGTATGAAACAAGTCTGGTGCTGTGGAAATTTAAGAGTAGGAAGAAGCTCTTGCACAAGACCCGTTGTGTTTAGATCTGTCCAGTGTCATTTAGCTTCTTTTCCCTTCAGTGGTGTTTTGTGCACACTGACCTAAGTAAGCATTCCTTCATGGTGGATGTATGTCAATGTTGTCTCAGAGATGACTAGTTTCTTTTTCCTCTGTCAGAGACGATCACTATCCACCAAATGGTCTCCATCGTGGTCTTCTTCATCTTCATCATGACTCTTACTGTCGCTGTCTTCATCTACAGGTGAGAGCTGCCGCTGTCTTTTTATAACATTAGGAAAATATTTACCACCTGCAGGACGTGAACCTTTGTCTCTGGTGCTGAAGTGTTGAGCCCTGAATGGCTGGTTTCCCTGCGTCTCTGTCTCTCTGCTGCAGGAGGATGAAACTGGAAAAGGAGCTGGTGGCTCAGCATTGGAGGATTTCCTGGGAGGACATCCAGATCAGCAACCTGGACAAGGGGCTGCGCAGCGGCAGCAGGATCACACTGTCACTGGTGGGCGCTCACACCTGTCACTGGAACTACTTGTCCTGTTGCTAATTTCCGTTGTGTGACTTTGTAACTTAGAAAGCATGCTCTGATCCTGTGTCTGTCTCCAGAGAGGCTCCAACTACGGCTCCCTCATGACTGGAGATGGAAACCTGCAGGTTTTTGCAAAGACTGGATACTACAAGGTCAGTGTGTTCTTTGTCTTTGTGAAGTCAGAATGACTCTGAGGGACCAGAGCTGTAATTACAGACGTTTTCATCCAAGTCGCTGCCTGTGCTCTCCTCAGTGACTGACGCTGCTTCACCCAGTTCCTCAGAGCCTTTTAAATTTCCATTAGTCATTCTAAAAGCTCTTCCTGCAGCGCAGGAAATGATCCACTTTGCATTTTTGATATTTCTCTACATAAAACATTTGTTTCTGCACTTATCGTTTCACCTAAGGATGCAGTGAGTTTCAGTTAGGGAAACTGCCAATTAGCTGCAGGAAGGATCTCAAAACGGCTCCTTGGGTGAAAAAAGAGAAAAGGAAATACAAAATGCAAAAAGGTAATTATAGGGACATGCTATAGTGCAGAAGTAATGTGGAAGCTGCAATAAACATAATGGATTTGTAGCAGACTTCTTCAAGGGCCATTTCTTTAACTGTGACTTTCTGTAACAGGCCTGAGCTCTGGTTCCTGTTTGCCAGCTGCATTTAGAGCTGAGGCAGTTCACTGATTAGCTGATCGACAGAAATGATCAGCAACTGTTTTGTAAATCACTTATTTGCTTGAGTCACTTTTCAAGCAAAAAGCAAAACGTTCATTGGGTCACAAACTTGACGATCTGCTGGTTTTTGTTTCACGTCTGATTGTAAACTGAATACGTCTGGATGCCGACTGATGGCAGCGTCTGACATTTGATTAGCATCAGGACTACGTTTTGGATTATTTTAGTTTACAAGCTGACTTGTGTTGAAGCTTGTGATCCTTCTCTCTGTGTTCTCCCAGGGAAACATCGTGGCTGTCAAATACAGCAACAGGAAACGCGTCGAGCTGAACAGGAAAGTCCTGTTTGAACTGAAACATGTGAGTGTCTGATGTGTCACAAGTCACAAGGTGAAATAACAAAATGATTAAATTATTCACCAAAACACAAGTGGTGATACTGGATCATAAACAGGTCATGGTAGAAACCAAAAGCAAGTGTGGAGAAAATGCTTGAATACACAGCAGAGAAAGACTAAACATTGGAAATCCACAGCTGCTGATATACTTGCTTTGCATCAGTACTGAGACAAAGGCTGCGACACCAATGTCACTGTTTACACACTGGCTTTATGGATGCATTATGAGACCTGGATACTGCAAAACAAGGTTTCCTCTGAAAGTTGCCCACCTGGTGCATTCCCCCCAGAAATCCTTTCTTCTGGGTTTGCTTCAGGGTTGTTTGCCCACTGCACATGCTCATTAGTGTTTCCCCTGCTGCCCCTGGCCACGTGCTCCCGCTCAGCACTGAGACTTTACGCTGGGATGACGTCACAAAGAGAAAATATTTTCTAGTTTCTGACAAAGTTTTGCAAATATAAAACCTCCTTGATAATTGACCTGGTTTGCAGTTGGAGGTATTTTGGACCACAGGGGATTATTTTCAGTTGCAGTACAGCGAGTGGCCACTGAGGAAAAGTGCCTGAATGGCCAAGTGGCGGCATCTTATCTCATAATACTTCTGTGACTTGCTTGTGTTTATCTAGAAGATGAAAAGGCATATCCACTAGGGTGCAGATTAGGGCCAAAAGAGATAACTTACTTGTGAATTAATGGCTTAGCTACCTAAACAACTGCCAATAATGATGCTGGAGGATGTTACAATATTGTTGATACTGAGAAAACAGCAGTAAAAACATTGTAGATGGTTTGTCAGCCTCTGAGTTTCTTTGCAAGGCTTCCCGCCATAGTCGTGGTGAACCAAAACCAGTTAAAGTGATTTTCTGCCTGCATCGCTTGTGTGCTAAACTGCATCATGCAGATGTGTAGTGTTAACTTCCAATAACATGCTCAAGCCAGTCCAGGCGCCGAAGGAAAGTAATTGGCTGGGCATTAGATTTTCATGGGCCTGACAGCCTAAATCAGTTTTTTCTACTGTTTAACGAAACAGCTAGCAGAGCAGTTTATGTACTTAAATACATGGCTATATGTGTTTATTTTTAGCGTACTAGGAGTCATTTTAATTTACAATCTTATTGATTTCCACAGAGACTGACTATTGTTAATTCTTACCAAGCTAGCCAGACACCGGCTGAAGTGAATGATTGTGCTGACATTTACTGAAAAGCTTAAACTCAAAACTCTCCAATGTCACAAAACCAGTTTATAAAACTGCCAGCAGAGGCACACTTTGACCGTAAATGGAGCCTGGAAAATCAGGATAAAATCTGTGACAACAGCAGGATTAATAATACAACACAACCAAATAAATAACTGATCACAATATTATGCAAACCTCTGCTGAGAGGGCCACATTTGTGAAGGGCAGGCCTGGGCCCCTGGGGCCCACCCATAAGGCCAGGTGTGGCTTACTGCCAGCTTAAAGGGCTCATCCACATGTCTTTAGCACCACCCTGAGGACAAACTTCACATTTTTGGTCCCTATATGTAAAGGTTCTAAGGGTATACTGTTCAACACATTTATTTTGTAGCTGTGACACTGTCGCCTTGAGGGAGACGTGGGCCAAAACAAATCTTTGTTTGCTTGTGTAGATGCGTGACGTTCAGAATGAACATCTGCTCCGGTTCATCGGAGCGTGCATCGACCCTCCCAACATCTGTATCATCACTGAGTACTGCCCCCGAGGAAGTCTGCAGGTAAACCTACCTGCCGGTCTGTCGACCTGTCCAACGCAGCATCGGTTGAACTTGTTGGTTTACAGTGTGCACTGTGTGTCTTCAGGACATATTGGAGAACGACAGCATCACTCTGGACTGGATGTTCAAATATTCCCTCATTAATGACATCGTCAAGGTACATTTCTTCATTTATATTCTGACATCCACATCTGTCCTTACTCTTCTACACCAATATTAATGTTCCTCCAGGTGTGACAGGTCCTTCCATAAGATGGTGCTGTACTCGTCTCGTGTTATCACATCTACTGTATGTCCTCCTCTCCCTTCAGGGCGTGTCGTTTCTGCACAACAGTGTCATCTTCTCTCATGGTAAACTAAAGTCGTCCAACTGTGTGGTCGACAACCGCTTCGTCCTGAAGATCACAGACTACGGTTTGTCCAGCTTTCGATCGGAGAGCAACTCGGGGACGGATGCTCATGCCTACTATGCACGTGAGTCACTGGTTCAGACACTGACCCATTGTACTACAGTTACTCTCTGTGATTTATATATTCAGATGCTGCATGTTTCAGGTCAGGGTTCTGTTTAATAAATGTCATCATCATTTAGGACTGGGTATAATTTCCCCCAAACTTCTCAAAAGTAACGTAGTCTCAAGTGTACTAAAACTGTCACCACGATCACTAATCTGACCTGATGTTCAATGCAAACTTTTATTACATTAAAGTTTAATTTGGTAGGTAAAGGTAGCAAGGTTCAATACTCAGCCCTGTTCATCATGCAACACTATGTAAGGGCAAGAAAATATATTCCATAAGCTAGAGTAAAACAGACACACCCCAAAACAATTCCATCTAAGAATATGTTCCACAGAAGCTGTAAAAGAACCAACAGTCCTAGAAAATGTCTTGTCCTGTTACAAGCCAAAAATTGTACTAATGCATCCGGCGTTCCTGCAGAGAGGCTGTGGATGGCCCCGGAGCTGCTCAGGATGGAGTCTCCTCCTCCTCAGGGAACTCAGAAGGGAGATGTCTACAGCTTTGGAATCATCCTCCAGGAGGTGGCGCTCCGACGAGGAGCCTTCTACCTGGAGGGAGATCCACTCAGCCCCAAAGGTAGGACACACTGAGCACGGAGTACATGTGCATACATGGGGGGTGACCACAGCAGTAGACTTAAAGGCTTTAGAGGGTCCAGATTTAAAAAATGAATATGAAAATGACTCAAAATGAGATTTTGTAGGTTTATTCCTGATTAACTGTGTCTAGGCTTGATTTTAGAAGCCACCCAGTGAAGAAGCCATGCTATTTTAGCTTTCATCTCTGCTCCGGCGACAGCTGTGGTTGGAGGCGTTATGTTTTCTTGTTGTCTGTCTGTAGTTTTACTGTGTTTCAGAGACAAAGACAGATTTTTGCTTCCAGAGAAACAGTTTTCACACACCCAGTCTGGAGCTTAGACCCAAGGATAATCAGTAGAGTTTCTGTTCTTTCACATTTTTATTTGGCCCTTCACTTTGTAAAAAAGAGGAAAAGGATTTGAGTATGTCTGGAGACCAGGTTCAGTTGATCTCACGTTGTTTATCTCGACAGCAGTTTGGCTAACTTAAAGCCACAGTATGTAACTTAAGGTAGCACCAGCATGAAATCCCAAATCAACCTGCTCTGCTCCGCCCAGCTCGCCCTTTCCCTGCTCCACTCTGCTTCACTATGACCTGCCCAGCTTTTCACATATTTGTTGTGAAATTACAGTAAATGAGAATGCAACAAAACTCACCAATCAAGCTGAAATAACAGAAAATCTCTGATTGGTTAGAGACATCAGAAGCTCATATCTCTGCTCTGGTGCTGCTCAGTGAGTCTGGGTCACAGGAGGCGTCCACAGCACCTCTCCACATTAGGACAGTGTAATAAAACAATACCAAGAAATGATCTAAATAACAAACAGTTAACTTTCCCATGGTCTGAAATGCAGCTGAATAGGAAAGTGACTGTGTCGGTTTTACGGTAGGTCTATTTTTTATTAGTGAAATGAATGTTTGGGCTCTTTTCTGACTTAATTATTGGCCTGATTGGAAACTCCTGCCGTGTTCAGCCGTCGATCACAGAAGCAGTGAACAAAGCGAGACTGGTGGTGGAGGGGTGTATCTGGAGTGATTTAGCCTGAGTCGTGATGACAACTAAATGAGAGGAATCAGAGACGGAGCAGGACTTGACTGCAACCAGCAATTTTATGAGGAAGAGGCCATTTAGCGAAAAGAGAATGATGTGTGACTGAAAGGGTAGAAAAATGAGATATTTATTGTGGGGTTTCTTTCACCTGTTGCCAGCTGTAATGATCAGATGCTGCGGTCCAGAAACACTTGAACACTGCAGTGTAGAACAGTTTCAGAGCCGTCAGCCTGCATCTGTCCAGGCCTCATTTCTTTAAAACAGTCTTGTGATCAGTTGTAGAGTGGTGTGCACAGTACTGCTGGAGTTGGTAGAGCCTTCAATCGACGTGGCCAAGCTTCGGTTTCCAAACCGCAGAAGACTGAAAGCGTGAAAGCAGAGCCAGAGATCAAGTGTTCCTAGGAATTTTAGAAAAAGTCTGTTCCTATAATTTCAGCATTAATATCAAGACTTGAGGTTTATTTTTGATGCAGCAGTTTACAATCACATGGCCTTCATCAGCAGCTGTCAGGGAATCTGAACTTTTCCAGTGTCAACTTAAAGCCAAAACAGGTGAGAAGTCCTTAACCTTCTCCGGACCTTCACTGATCTCTGCAAAGACAGTTTTATCTTTAAGTGGACTTCAAGGCTCTGAGGAATTACTGCAAGTCTGTTTCTGTGCTTCTGCAGCCCTTTAAACTAGCAGACTATTTCATTATTTCTGTCCACGTTTGCTATTTCAGGCTGGTCAGTAATCAGGGTCATTTTTTTTTTATTAATTCAGCATTTTTACTTAGTTTTATCCAACACCAGTTTCTCCTCCTCAGTTCAGTTTGGCTGCTTTTCCTCTGACTTTCACCACAGAGCTTAATGACCACTCATTTATTATTTATTTTCTGTTCCTTAATTCCTACTGACAGTTTCTTAGTTTGCTGAAGAAGACTGTAAGATGGAGCTGAGAGCTCAGATGGGACTGCACATTGAAATCATGGTGTATGCAGCAAAGAGGGTGACTAGGACAAAAGACAAGGTCTTTCTAAACTGAATTCTGAGCATTCATATCTGTGTATACTGACCTGACCCTGCAGAGATCGTGGACCGGGTGGTTCTGGGCGAGTGGCCCTGCCTGAGGCCAACCATCGACCCTCAGAGCCACAGTCCTGAGCTGGGTCAGCTGATGCAGCGCTGCTGGGCCGAGGAGCCGACGGAGAGACCAGAGTTCAACCACATCCGACTGCTGCTGCGCAAACAGAACAAGTAAGACTCAACAAGAAGAAGAGGCTTATCTTAGAGTCAAGGAGAAACCTCCAGGAAACTTTAGCAAAGTACAGCTCTTCTTGCTCATCCTCACTGTCTGAGGAGAAACCTCCAGGAAACTTTAGTAACGTGCAGCTCTTCTTGCTCATCCTCACTGTCTTTACATGTTTGATTCTTTATTTCATATACATTCACAGGATGTGCAAGAATGGAGCATCCCAAATTAAACTAGATAGATTAAAAACAGTAACACCTCTGCTGATACAACCTTAAAGTCACTTTGAGCACTTTGGATCACGGTAGGCTCACGTGCGAGGTTTTAAGAGGATTTTCTTGCTCTCAGATCCACAAACGTGCTGCATTTAAGTACAGGTGGAAAACTCAGATGTTTGGCTTTACTGTGTAAGAGGGTAATAACAGTCATTAAGGACATTTTCCTCCAACTGTGCGTAGGGAGTCACGGACCAATATCCTGGACAACCTGCTGTCCCGTATGGAGCAGTACGCCAACAACCTGGAGGAGCTGGTGGAGGAACGAACACAGGCTTATCATGAAGAGAAACGCAAAGCTGAGGCACTGCTCTACCAGATACTACCACAGTCAGTACTGCATACACTAGATCACATACTGCTTTTACATCGCTTTGTACACATTTGTCAACCTGACATCTTTGGTGTTTTGGCCTCTTGCTCTCTGTGTTTCTGTACCTCTCTTGCCCTCCTCCCAGTTCCGTAGCGGAGCAGTTGAAACGTGGTGAGACGGTTCAGGCTGAAGCTTTCGACTCGGTCACCATCTACTTCAGCGACATCGTGGGTTTCACAGCGATATCTGCAGAGAGTACACCGATGGAGGTGAGTGGAAATTGAACAAAATCTACATATTTGAAGATGCAGAATTTGTCTCAGTGAGAGGAGGAGAAAGCTTTTGAGTTTTTACTGAGTAAGAGGAGTTTTTCTTGGACAAACCATGAGACAAGGTAAAGTAATTTAAATTAAGCATGACTTGAGGTGACCTTTCAACACATGTGAGAGTGCTAGCAGTCTTCTCATCTCAGTGAAAAGGTGAACTTTCAAAAATGTCAGATTAAACAATCTGTAACTCCAGTGAATCTTACGGCCAAACCTTCTGGCCCTGCAGGTGGTGACGCTGCTGAATGACCTCTACACCTGCTTTGATGCCATCATCGACAACTTTGATGTTTACAAGGTGACAAACTATTTTCAGTTACTGCTATTTTGAGATTTTCCATCCATCCATTATCTATACCGTTTATGCCTGAATAGGGTCGCAGGGGTGCTGGAGCCAATCCCAACTAACAATGGGGGAGAGGCGGGGTCCACCCTGGACAGGTCGCCAGTCTATCACAGGGCTGACACTTAAACAACCACACACACTCACTCCTTCGGGCAATTTAGTTGCCAGTCAACCTAAGTTGCATGTCTTGGACTGTGGGAGGAAGCTGGAGTACCCGGAGAGAACCCATGCAGGCACAAGGAGAAGGCGATCACACTAACCACTGTGCCATCGTGCCGCCCGGGGTTTTCCATCTTAATAGAATATTCCAGCAGATTCCCTGAAGAAGCTCTGCACTGGCTTTGAGTTAAAAGGAGGAGTCAGATCCATGTGCACGTTTGTCCAGCAACAGCTCAGAGTTTTCAGGCTCTTTAACTTCAAAGACACAAACATTTTTACCTTAGATGAGAGTGGGTTGACTTTTATTAATCCAAAGGTATCATTGTTCACTGCTGTTCACTTCAGGTCAAATACGCTGTCATCAGATTTAAACTTTACATCTGTGCATGCTGTGGATGTCTCTGCTGTGAAAAGACTGGGAGGTTTTGGCTTTCTAACCTGGTGTTTGTGGTTCTGTGGTGCCCTCAGGTGGAGACCATCGGCGATGCCTACATGGTGGTGTCTGGGCTGCCGGTAAGGAACGGGAAGCTGCACGGCAGAGAGATCGCACGCATGGCCCTCGCCCTGCTGGCCGCCGTCAGGACATTCAAGATCCGCCACCAACCAGAAGACCAGCTGAAGCTGAGGATAGGAATACACAGTGGTAAACATACAACAACATGTCACATATCTCCACACCCTGGTACAAAGAAAGTTTCCAGGATCGACCAGTTAAAATAAGCTAATTTCATTAAACTCAATCTAATTCACTGGTCTGATCTTCACCCGGAACTGGAGAATATCAGACGTTTTCCACTGAGTAAAGACCCAAAGGATTGATTTTCTTCAAAGTGACTAATCAGTGAATCAGCTCTAGCTCTGAGTTGTGTCTCTGTAGATTGTTTAAGGGCAGGTGTTCTGGGATATATTACAGAGTAAATATGAGAAATTCCATTTTTTGCTTTTCTTTCTTGTGTTCTTGTTCCTTCTTTTCATATTTGTTAATTCGTATTAAGGATCTTGATGTTTACATCAGGGCTGGGATTTACAAGGGTTACATATACAGTCAGTGGTCAGTTTATTAGGTACATGTAGCTCAGTCAGTCAGTTTAACCCAATAGTGCTGCAGTAAATCCTCCTCCATGAAGGTGATGATGGTCCATTTGTGGTGCACAGAGGTGTCGGTTCACCTGCACCGTGTTATACCGAGAGCTGTTTCTGTTATTGTGTCCACCCCATTTATATCAATGAGGCTGGGCTTACAGAAACAGCTCTTTGTAATGCAACAGAGGTCAACAAGCAAAACTGAACATTAGCACATTGATGAGGGAAGATTTACTACTGGATTAGACCGACTTAATCCGATACAGGTGTTCCTAATAAACTGACCACTGTGTGTACATGAGATTTAGGAAAAAGAGAGCAAGAAGGGGGGGACTGTCTAAATAAATGTTGTACGAAAAACAACTAATAATATTAATAAATCCAGTACTGAGTTACAATTCACAGTCCAACAAGATCCATCACTGGGAAAAACAGGGTTTAAGACAAAGACGCTGGCTGAGCGCCACCTCATTTACTGCAGGATGTGTGCGCAACCCTCCTCCTTCTCTGTTCTGTGTGTAGGGCCGGTGTGTGCAGGAGTGGTGGGTCTGAAGATGCCTCGTTACTGTCTGTTTGGTGACACCGTCAACACGTCGTCTCGCATGGAGTCCAGCGGCGAAGGTGAGAAAACAGAAACACTGCACAGACACAACAAACTCCACCTGGTAGAGCATGTAACAAGCATTTTAATGCTGTGGCTGATTGAGATGGAGCGTATTTGAACTAGTTCATCCCCCTGCTGAGATATTTACAGACACATTTATAACATTTTATAGTCAACTGATTTTCTTCATATGTTTATATTTAAATCTTGATCTGCAAATAAGTGAGACAACATTTTCATCTGCAGTAGAGTGGAACTGAAGGATAAAGTACCAAAAAATTAAGCAATCAACTCCCCTTGAAGTGCAGGTACTTTGACAGTGCATGGAGTGTGGTATTGATTCAACACATGCACAGGTTTCATCTGTCATTGTCTCTCCAATTTTAAAACATGACTGTTCTGGAAACATCAGACTTGTCTTAAAATAGCAACAATAAAAATGATCAAATTCTTTGTTTCTAAATCAGAAACATGGTAATCTTAGAAATCTAAGATTAAAGGACAAATGTACAGAATTGAAGAGATTTATTTTGTACCTGTGCTTTTGCAGCGCTGAAGATCCACGTGTCGGCAGCGACCCGTGACGTACTCCTAGAGTTCAACTGCTTCCAGCTGGAGCTGAGAGGAGAGATTGACATCAAGGGCAAAGGGAAGATGACCACCTACTGGCTTCTGGGAGAGAGCCAATGACAAAACAGTTTGGACAAGAGGACAGCAGGCAACAGAGAGGATGAAGAAACAGGCGGAGAACAAAGAGTGGGAGGAGAGGATGTAGAGGAAGGAGCAGAGCAGCGTGGAAGGTGTGGGAGAAATGGAGATACAAAGGAGAGAAGGTGCTGAATGAGGGAATAGAGGAGGAAATGGGGGGTAGGGGGTAGAAATGAAGCAGAGAGGCATCTCCTCAGACGTCCACGGTCCTCTTTGTCCTGCAGCAGCGGACTCATCACCTCTGGGTTGTTTCTCATGTCTGAACAAAAGGGCTTGGCTCGTTTCAGACTCCACAACACGGAGGGAAACAACGGTACATTCCCAACAAATATGAATGAAAACATGCAAAACCTCTACAGGGCAAGTGTGCAAGTGAAAAACCGAACCACAGACGGAGGAAAAAGAAACACAGCGTGGAGGCTCTGATAACAATGACAGAGGAAAACATACAGAACCAGGAATCGCACTGTACCAACGAAGGGCTGAAATGGTGTAAACAAAAGAGCTGCACAGACAACATGGACAGACTCTGGTCCGAGTTCCAGATCCTGTCCTTTATATGTTGCACCTGTGCCAGTTAAGCTGAGCTTTACAGAGAAAATCAGAGCATGGGTTGATTTGAATTCCCTGCCTCAGAGGCTCAAGACCGGAAAGTCGAGCAGCAAAGAAGATTCTTTTGTGCTCCACTGCTTTCTAGAAGTTTAAAATGTGTCTCCAGCAGCCCAGCATCAGGTCTTACTGGGACCATCTCACCCACTGGGATCAGGGAAGCAGCTGCTTTCTAACGGAGGCGTGGGGGGGATTAAGCACTGTATATCTGCCAAACCAGCCAGTTGGTCCTCATCACTAAAGCCTCTTCATTTACTGTTTGAAAAGACTGCTAATAAAAGCATAAATATTACCTGGGTCACCAATTCATACTGGGCCAATTAATGTTGAAGGATGAAAAAACGCCCACTGATACTGGTTGGTGCCACAGCTGCAGCGGGTTTTCATCCCTCAGTGAGTTCATTCTCCACTCTTCAACAGGCAGCACACAGGTGAAGGCTATGTGTTCTCTAACATAAGAACAGACTTCCAGGATGAAGACTAACTTCAATTCACTTCAATTTCATTTGTATAGCACCAAATCACAACAAAAGTTAGGTCTAGACCTCACTATTATCACAAAGGGAAAAACCCAACAAATCCCCCCTGAGCAGCACTTGGTGACAACAGGGAGAAAAAAACTCCCTTTAACAGAAGAAACCTCTTACAGACCCCGGCTCTTGGTGGGTGGCCTTCTGCCTCAACTGATTGGGGTGAGTGGATAGAGGAGAGAGGAAAGAAGAAAAGCAACAAGACACAACAAACAATCAAACACTGGTCAGGCTGATGTGGCCGGTGACTGCTCACCAGCGACGTGGAGCTCCAGAGCCAGGACTACCTGCAGAAAGGTACAGGGAGAGAGCGAGAGGACACACTACGGCAGAGAGGAGACACAGTGACATGTAATGGTGACATATAGATGGATGGAGAGAGAGGAGAGGAGCTCAGGGGCATCATGGGGCCCCCCAGCAGTCTAGGCCTATAGCAGCATAACTAAGGGAAGGCTCGGGGTCACCTGATCCAGCCCTAACTATAAGCTTTATCAAAAAGGAAAGTTAAGTCTAATCTTAATAAGCGGCTGTTTTGGCAAACATCTGCTGAACTTTACCTGTGAATCGCACTGGGACCTTCTCACAAGCAGTGGCTGAGAGAATCCATAAAGTCTGGCTGCAGATGTTTGAAAGAGAGGCTCTCTGTAAATAAAGAACATGTTCCTGTGATTTTAAATAAAGTTGCAATTACATAAATTTCTGCTTTTGAATTACAATAATCCCCCTTTGGTTTTAAACTCGGTACAATCGAATGCTCTTCACGTCGAACAGCTGAAGATCAGCAACAGCACAAGGAGCTGAGCAGCAAACAGACCGATGTACTGGAGCTGCGAGTAGGACAAAAATATTTTCTTGGAGTCATGTGAATGAACTGAAAAGGCCTCAAAATGGAAACACCTGATATTTTTATATAGGGTCATTACATGTGTGTTACATGTAGGCAGCAAAGCAATGTTTAAGACTGATAGGTGTACAGTTTTAGAAAATTCTGGACAAACTGTCATCGACTAAAACACATCCTTGCGCATCTCTAAGAGACTCCAGTCACCACAGGTCAGAGTCACAGCTTCTGTTTTGTGCAGTTAGTCTATTGTGTAAGATCAGTTTGCACTGCCTTCTTTTAAATCAGTGTTGCACGTCCCCTCTGGGGCCATTTTGCATCCTCGCATTAGGCTAATCAGCAGCTTCAGTGCACGTGGGGAGTCAGACAGGTGAAAATGAGCTATGTGTTTTTACTGGGAATCAGACCAGCAGTGTGTGTTTGTACTGACCTGCAGTGGCCTCAATAAAGTGCTGTGCAGAGCTGCAGTTTTCTGATGTGGATTGACAATGAGTTTGTTAATGCTCACAGGTGCAGAAGATATTAACGTTATACCAGGACCACAGAGAGAACTCCTCTGATTGGCTGAAGGATGTGCATCATTTTCAGATAACATGACACTATTGAGGCAGGATTTAATCTACTGTCATTGATAACAAGTGGCCATTCACACCACACCAAGAAGTGATGTGCATTATGGTTCCACCACAACAAACGCCATAGGAGCTGAACCAGAAGAAAAGTGCTGGTGTTTCAGAGGAAAGGGAGCAGAACCTCCTTTCACACATGGAAATAAGAGCAAGATTTGGAAAGAACACCTCTTCGGTGGCTGTGGGTCCTTCTTCAAATGGGAACATCTCAGAATTCACCACTTTCCCAAATCATATAACATGGGGGTACTGTAACTGTGGTTCAGTGGGTAGAGAGGTCGTAGAGGGTTGGCGGTTCAAATCTCGGTGCCTGCAGTCCACATACCGAAGTGTCCTTGGGAAGACACCGAACCCCCAAGTTGCCCCTGATGGTTAGAGCCATTGATGTGAGATGGCTGCCTCAGTTCTGTACCGGAAACAAATTCCTTGGTGTAACATACTTGGCCAAATAAAGGTGATTATCATTATTAACATGCCGATGAACCTGCAGACAGGAAAACCTGAGACATAGAACATGATTAATGTCATGATTACAGAACAGCTGTATGAAATCCAGAGCTAATTTAACACAGTGCATAAGCCTCACTAAATAAGTACGAGTTTAAGTGCTAAATGAAATCTACCCATAAAAAAATAGAACAAATTCAAGTGATGTTAAATTGTGCAAAAACTGAAGCCCCAATATGGCATATTTTATTTTTACAATTG